GGCTGAAGTCGATGCTGGAGGCAAGGCAGCGCCTGCACAACCAGTCTCATTAAGAAGGTAACTTTTTGTAATATATTATATCGAGCAGAACTATTATATAGTTTATAATAAATTGTTCCTGAACTCAAGTTCATTATATCGTGATTTTAATTAGACTTTGTTATATCGAAGGGTTATTATATCAAGAGTATCTTTTATATATACAGGGGAGTATAAAAAGTATTAGATACTTGATATAATATAAAAAGAATATGTATCGTGACATCCTTACTATTTTAAGCCATACTTTTTTTTTTTTAAAATATTTATTTATAATTTATAATTAACTTAAATCATGTCACTGTAGAACATAATAGTGGGTCATACAAGCATACAAAAAACACCAAACATTATCATCACAAAAAGATTTACCACATCAAAATGTGCCTTGGAAAAGAACTTTTTGAATATCAAAAAAGAGGAATTATCATGACAAAAAAGTTGGGGCATACAAATAGTGAGATCTCTGTCATTATTAGTTATTCTTGTTCTTCTGTAATACATATATGGGAGTCATTTAATCAAAAAAAATCTTCTAAGAAATGAACAGGCTGACCACAAACTCTTGACGAAAATTCACGCGAACTTCTTAAACATTTAGTAATTACAAATAAAGAAGTCTATTGCCAAACTCTTTCACAAATATGATCAAACTTTATTAAAGAAACCAATAAAACTATTTCTACACAAACTATTCAAAATGAGTTAGCTCAAGAAGGATTTCATTCATGCATTCCTCATCTCAAATCATTAATTTCCAAAAAAAATAAAGAAAAATACTTGGAGTGGGCCCATACTTACGAAAATTGAATAGTAAAGGATTTCAAACATGTTGTTTAGTCGGATGAATCTACGTATACACAGTTTAGAACTACAGATTTTGAATATGTGTGACGTGAATCTTTGGAAGAATTTCATGAGAACTGCATTGCAATCATGGTTAGAAAAAGCTTTGGTCACATATTTTGGGGGTGTTTCTCTTGGGTTGGTTTGGATCCCATAGTTTCCTTGAATGGTTATGTTACTAAAGTTATGCACTATGAGATCTTGATGAATTACACAATTCCTACGGTTAAACTTCATGCAAGAAAAGTAAAAAAAAAATTTTTTTTTCAGGAAGACAACATGCCGACCCATACTGCAAAAGTCGCATATTCTTTTTTCATCTCCTCAAATATCGAGTTACTCCCCTGGCCAGCACAAAGTCCTGATATTACTCCAATAGAGAATCTTTGGTCATATATTGAAGTTAAAATTTGTCAACGTGATTCACAGCTCTCAAATGTTATGCAATTAAAACAGTGGGTTAAGGAGGAATGGGATGCAATACTCATAAATTATTATCGTAATTTGATCAAGTCTATGCCACATCATGTTCAAGCTGTTCTTGAGGCAAATGGTGGTCAAACAAAATATTGACCTGTGCTTTTAATATTGATATATAAACAAAAAAATTTATAAGTTAGTTATGTCATAAAATGCATCACAAAAATGTCCAATACTTTTTATACCCCCCTGTATATATATATATATATCAGGTATATATATTGAAAATGGATATACCTACCATAGGAAAAGTTTTAACACTCCTCTTATAAATATACTCTTTTAACTAGAGTAATTAGTGACAGATATAAAAAAGCAATCAAGAAAGAAATGAGAGCTTTCAAAAAAGTGTCACCAGTTAAATTTTTATCTAGAGACAATAAGTGTCAACTGGTGACAAAATTCGGCATACTCAATGCAACAAATCTAGGTTACAAATATTTTTTATATGTTTTTGAAATTAAAAAAAATATTTTGACAGTTGTAAAAATAATAAGTAATAATATTGATAATCCAAATAAAATCATTTATTAAAACGATCAATTAAATAAGTTCATGTAGATTATTTTTGGTGCAAATTGTTAATTAGAAACCAATCATAATTCGTCATAGGCAAAGTTAATTAATAAACCATTTTGCTCTGCATGAACTAAAATCGATAGGAAAAATTGCCACTTGAGGCTTTGACAATTTGACATTTATCATCTTTCGCTCGAATATTTCATAAACTGGGAACTATATTTTCTTGCAGAGATTAAACTTTCGGGAAATAACAATGGGAAAAGAAGAACGACGCAACAGAAAAAAAGCAGGCAACTCCGACAATGTAGTTTTAACTGCATCTGATCAATATGATCCCGACATTGATGACATTCCAGATTCCGAAAAGTTTCGTTTGATTGAACAATCTGGGCTTTTCAAGAATTTGTCTTCAACACAGCGTGAAAAACTTAACCTTAAATCGGATAAAAGTTCGTCTTCCTCCATGCCAAAGTTAGAAGTAATACGTCAAGATACCGATGAAGAGCCACATTTTGGTTGGGGATTTCAAGCGATCCTGTATACTATACCGCTTTGTTCTGTCTATTGCGTAATGGACATTTTAATTCATAGACAATTTAATGAGGATGTTACGTTTTGGCCCTTCTTTAACAGGGTAATTAAAATAGCACCAAGTAAGTCATCTTAGTTGATTTTTCCTTGTCGGTTGGGAATCTTATTAATTGTACCTCGTATTGATTTCATTCTCGTCTTCTCAGTTGTACTCTTATTAGTTTATTATACCAACAAAAATCTCACGAAACCTTGGCTTCAATTTTTGATGTTTATTGGCGCGATTGGATGTGGTTGTTATTTAATTTGGGTTATTAATAAAGTTTCTTATTTTGGCGTGATGAAACGTTGTCCACCCTTGGCAACTTTGTGGATTTATTTCGTGGCTCAGTTACGTTTGCTTCCGGCAGTCATAAGCCTGATCACAGTATATCTGTATTTTCGTTTCGGTGACCCAAATTTCAAAATTTAAATTTGTATAATATAATGTCGTGATACATTAATTTATTCATTTTTGACATCGGTAATTTAATACAACCAACGAATATTGGCTAAAAGAATTGTAGTAATAAATTCCTAATCATAATACTAATTTGCGAAAGAACATTTTAAATAGAGTAAGTTAGAATGGCTATATTATATAATAAATTTTAGCCAAACATATATATTATTTCTTTAATAAAAAAAAATACTAATAAATAATTCCTTCTAAATTGGGGAATATCAAAAGTTCGTTTGAATTAAATTGAGTATAAGTTCTAGATTTTTAATATCACCACATTAATTTAGACCTTCCCAAAATTGAAAATGATTTATTTGAAAAACTTCTGAAATTCCTTTCCAAATTTGCCCGTCTTTGATTTTGAAGATGATGTTGAAGATGCTGAAGAAGTTGAAGAGAGAGGCGCTGCTGACGGTCGCTGTTGTTGCGCATACTGTGAATTCACTCCTTGTTGTTGATAATATCCTTGTGGAGGTTGCTGTTGATAGCCCCCTCCTTGATGTCCGTAGCCTTGGGATGAATAATTACTTTGTTGATAGCCACCTTGTTGAGGTGGTGGTATATAGCCACCTTGCTGTTGCTGAGGAGGATTGTGGCCGGGTGATGGAGATGTTGGCACGTGATTATATCCAGGATTATTCATCGCCACCGGATTGCCGCCGTAATTTTGAGTGGGAACAGGGGGTCGATTTTGGTTAGGCTGTGGTTGCGATTGCGATTGCGCTTGCGCTTGCGCTTGTGGCTGTGACTGAGATTGCAATAGCGAATAAGCCACGGAAGGTCGACGAAGATATTTCAAGTCATCAATAAATTTCTTAGGTGTAATAACATGAGTAGAGCCTAATAAAATTTTTAAATTTTGATTTCATAAAATTCGAATAAGATGTAAAGAAGCGAATGGAAGGGTAAAACTTACCAATTATTACATCACGATTATGTTTTTCAGATAGTTCGTATGCAGAACGAATCTCGGAATAAGCCACGCCCCCCGCAACAAACACTATTATACGACTAGCACGGCTTTCTGTCTGTATTAGAAGAGACGACATAAATTAATTTTGATATTATTGGCCATAAAACTCTAGTTCAAACAATTAGAGTATTATTCATACCGATTGACCTTTCTTATACCATGCTGGCTTAGCACTAAAAATTAAAAGATAGACATGTTAAAAAGTGACAAGATGATTTCAAATAGATAAAAAATATATTACAAAAAGTTACCTTCTTAATGAGACTGGTTGTGCAGGCGCTGCCTTGCCTCCAGCATCGACTTCAGCCGAAGGATCTTTAGTATAAGGATATGCCGTATGATCTATTGTATTATTGATATGACTCTAAAATGCATATTTTTTGCCACTACTTAGTCAAAGTGAATATTGAATTATTTTTATGAACTAGATTAATAGTCTACCTCTAAAATCGTTTTGAGATTCGGAATATATCGAGAAAGGTCGTATTGACTTTCTTCGGAACTCGGTTTTTGTTTATTTTTTCGCCCCTTATCACTTCCCAGGGGGGACTATCAAAATAGGGAATATACTTTAATCCTCAGATGAATAAAATTAAATATTCATAAAAGTAAACGAAACAGACCTTTATTAATTTGACACCCAACAATCCCGTGTTATTGAGAGCATCATTTTCTTCTAAAGAAATCCCCGAATGCGCAAGCAATTTACGCCGATCTTCCTCTAGAATGCCATTCTTGTATAGAATATAGAGCAAAAGCATTCTAATTTTATCGTATGAGCTGTTTAATAATAGAAAATACAACTAGAATTAAAAATTTGTGGAAAATTATTATTGGATAAAATTTCAAACAAAAATACCTTACAACCGGATCATCCAACAACGGTACCATATCTTCAACTACATTTTTGGGGCTATGGCCGTCAGGAGTATATCCCGTGGCGCAATTTTGTTCAATTGCAGCAGTTTCTGTTAACTTATGTTTCTTATAAATCGACATGCATTCTTGCGCAATATGTAAATGAAGGAAAAGCTATAAAAAAATAATTATTTAATTGTGAATACTGAAGAAATATAATCGAACATTGAAAAAACGACGTATAAGATTACCTTTTCTTTCATGTTTTGAAATTGCGGAAGATTCGCCAACATTTTTTTCAAGTCATTCAGATTTGCGGCTTTTTCACTAACAATGATCGGTTAATAATATTTTGCATTGCATATGTTTGAATTTGATAGTTGAAAAACTTACTTGTCAGCAAAACTAGAATTCTCTTCGAGGAAATCGCGAACATCTTTCATTAATTTTTCAATGCATTCTTGCATATGCTTATGTCTAATCTCAACCCAAACTTTATCGGTTTCATCCAAAATAGCTTCTTTTGTTGCAAGTTCTCCATTTGAATCAGTGTAATTATACTCATATTTTTGTCCATTATCAATTTCAAGCAAATCATTTGCCATTGCTTGATATGTGAACTCATGAAGAAAGGGTACATTCATATCAATTGTTCGATCGCAGATAAAGAGCATACCACGTGGTCGGGGGTTATCAGGTGGCTAGGTTTTTGTCGAAGAAACCGAAATATCAGTACTATACACAATCAATGTTGATTAAATTATGAAATATATAATGTACCGGAAAATCAGGATTATCCTTAATGTATTGATCCAATTCGCTTTGAAGCAACATGGCTAATTTATATGGTAAAGTTTTGGTGGGATGATCTGCTTCAAGAGATCGTTGATATCGGATTAATGGATTTTCTCCTAACGATGCGCACAATGAGAGAAGCTATAATATAAAAAACTGCATTCATTAAATATTATGAATTCAAGGTCTTTCATCATATTTACAAGATACAATAGAGATGAGCTCTTGCCTGTCTTGCGATTTTTCTGATTTCATTTTCGTAGTTTGGCATTTCTTCAGGGGAATACAATTTAAAGAAACTCTGTGGCGATTCGAATGAATAAACCTGGGCTTCCATAGCTAAAAGTTTAATGTCGTAAATTTCCGTCTCGTTAACCCACGTGATCCCTATCTATCATAATGATGGGCGTGATCCTGTGATATAACTCGCACATACCTTGAAAGTCGATGTACAATTCTATGCATTTTTTTATGTAACGTTTAGCAGGAGACGCGCTCAATCTTTGAAATAATTTGTCGTCAAGCCCTAATATGAGAAAAGTTTCCTCCTTAGCACCTACTATTGATCAAATGCCTCCAATACATGTCTTCTTAGAATTAGAATTTACGCTCACCTGATGTGAAAAATAGATTAGCTTGAGCATATAGCGGCGTGTTTTTCGCAAAATCTTCAATTACTTTTGTAATAGCCTCATAAGTTGGACTAATTATGTACACGGCCTCAAGTGTAGGATAAGGTTGCCGTTGCTTTTCAAGACTTTCCACCACTTTATCAAAATAAAACTTTGTTCAGAAACTTTCTTATTGAAAAGAACTTTGATAGTTTGACTGGGTGCTTTTCGCGATGCATACTCACAAGTTACATTTTCCTCCAAGATATCGTACATTTTACATGACGAAAGTAATATTTTTTGAGCTGCGACGTCCACAACCACCACCTTCCATTTTCCGGGCGGTTGAACCGATCTTATAGTGTCAATGAGACCTGTAGAAATCAAGTGATGTTAAAGTTAGGCCGAGTATTACGATAATGTTAAAACGAAGCAAGGTTTATCGAATAGTTTGGGCATACAACTTACGCTTTTTGAGTATTTCGTGTATACCGACCATGGTTTTTTGAAAACTTTTTAAATGTTTATGACAATTGTCAAAAGAAAGATAAAACTGATCTGTCTATATTTGAGCATTAGGTGAAATTATTGCTGTTAATTTTGTACGACAACCCATGCGTCGCCACCGCTTTTCACTCTTCCCCCTCTTTCCCCCCTATGCCTATTAAAAAAGAACAATGTTCTTTTTCCCAGATTTTATACCAAATCCTGTGCAATATCTAATCACTGTTTCGGGGATTTTAGTCTGTGGAGGTGCTGCATTACTGTACATATTTCAATGCGAATTGATCTATGCAGCGAATTTTCCACCGGGTTCCCGACAACAGGTATGCTGTTTGTGAGAGTTATTTGAAATGGATCTTTCGAGTTTTTTTTACCTCTCGCTTAAAAACCAATCTAGATTAAAGATTTTTTTGGGTTTAAGGTAAAATAACACGTAATAACCTCACATCTCAACACATCTAGGTTTCAAAACCAACCGATCATGGAATATACAAATACGAGGACGTTACTTTAACAACCAAAGATAACGTTAATATTCGTGCATACGTATGCCGACAAGTTCCTGAAGCTACTGCTAGGATATCACCAACTATACTATTTTTCCATGTAAGCGAATTCATCCGTATACACTATCAAATAGTTTCTTTTTATATTATTCAATGATGATCCTTTGTAATCTTTTAGGCGAATGCTGGAAATATGGTAATATTTTGATTTTGCAAAATAATCTTTCATCTTATGTATGACATGTATGACATTATATAATTCGGATATTTATTCATTATTAGGGTCATAGACTTCCAATAGCCAAGAAGTTTTACATAAAATATAAATGTAATGTAGTCTTGCTTTCATATCGAGGATATGGATTAAGTGAAGGCAAAGCGAATGAAAAAGGAATTCAAATAGATGCCCAGGTGAAATTCTATGATTTTTTTGATGATCATTGTTGTTACTATAGTGAAAAGTGAAGTCATAATTTCAAGTGTATAGTGCATCTTGGATCATATACGGAATCATGATGTGTTAAAAGACACCAAAATTATCGTGTATGGACAATCTGTTGGCGGTGCAGTGGCGATTTATTTAGTATCAAGGAATGAGAGTGATGTAGGTGAAATAAGAGATTCTGCACGATTTTGGATTATTTCTTGTTTAATAAGCGTTTTTCTATTCTCTATAGATTAGCGGTCTTATTGTGGAAAATACATTTTTGAGTATTGTAAGATTCATTATAATCATAATTCTTTATAAACTTTTGTTGACAACCAATAGTAATTCATTCAATAAAACAATAATTCCATATAGCCAAAGTTAATACCACACGTATTACCACAACTAAAACACTTTACATTTCTCTGTCATCAAAATTGGCCATCTGAAATAGCGATCCGACAAATAGTAAATACACCGATATTATTTCTGACAGGAGCTAAAGACGAATTGGTTCCCCCGGAACATATGCGCCAACTGTATGAATTAGCAGAAACTCGAGGGGGTAAAGTATGGAAAGAATTTGTTAATGGCACTCATAATGACACGGTGATCCAACCGGGTTATTTTGAAACGATAGGAGAGTTCATAGAGAATAGAGTGATGTCGTTTGCAATGATAAAAGAAAAGGCTGAAAATGATGAGAAGTAAGCTTACAATATTCTTATGAGAAAATAGTCGAGATAAATAATAATCTAATTTTTATTTCGAGAAACAAATGATTACATCATATTTTTTAATCTAATTTGGTTGACAATAAAAAGTCAAGCGGAATCAAAAGAAATGAACATTTAATTTAACTTTATGTTACGAATTTGATTCTGCTATTACTTCCTCAACCTCATCCCGTTTTCGCTCTTCGGCTTCTAGCTCACGTGCTTCCTCCTCTTTCTTTGCCTCTGCAATGATACGATCCCTATTGCTAATCGTGCTCTTATCAGAAATTGAAGAAGGCTTGATAATGTCATTTATCGATAATAATTTTGTAGATGCTAAATTACTACCACCATCAATAGCAGTTGACATTGAAGCCGTTGTTGTCGTCGTCGTCTCTTTTTCATCTTGAAAAAGTGTATTGTCAGGATCGATCCCAAGCATTTCGCGCAATCCTAAATTCTCGATACACAGACTTTCCAACAGAATCTCTGTATCGAGATCTGTTTGAACGTCGTATGCTTGTCTGACCAAATTACCAATGGCACTGAGATGAGAGTGGAGTTGCATGTTTTCAAGAGAAATTTGAGCATTTTTTTTCTGTACCCAAAATAATTATTAGAAAAAGAAAATTAACAAACAGGGCTCAGTTAAAGATATATATATATATATTTGGAGACTTACCCGTTCCTCTTCTAGTAATGATTCGTATTCACGTTGCATTTGTAATTTGGATTGTTGTATCTCGTGCTATTTTATTTATTTTATTGAAATCAGACGCATTAGAAACATATTAAAGCTCACGAGAACAAGTGAAAAAAAAATCACTTACCGCCTGTACTCGAAATTTACTCATCATAACCTGCAACGTGGTTTCATATTCTTTAACTAATGAAGACAAGGAAGCATTCTCTTCATTCAATTGTTGATTTTCGTAGATCAAACGCACGTTCTGTCGTTCTATCTCCGACGTGCCGGATTCAAATGGTGGGGCTAACCTTTGCCAAAATACGAAAAATATCATGTATAGTTTAAATAAATCGGGGGTGGCTTGAGAATTAGCATATACTTAGATACGGAAATACTTAAAAAGTTTCGCATTGATTTACCTCGAATACTGGCGCGTATCAGCGGTCCGGTGAATCCATCTGCCCGATTCTATATGAATTTTTTCAATATGTTGAGATTTTGTTCAGAAAGTTTCACGTTATTTGATAATAGCCAAATTGCTATATTTTACAATTAAAAGGAGTATAAACTTAACGAGGTGTAAATTTTATTCTCTCGAACATACATACATAAACTTACGATTTTTCTCGCCTAACCAAAACAATAAAAAAAAAAGATAATCACCTGAAGCTCAACGACCTGTTGCTCCAAGGATTTAATTTGCTCACGGTTATTAGCCAATTGTGCACATAATTCCGCGACCAAATGCCAAGTACGATTAAGTGTCTCTTCATCCGCAATCATATTCGAGGTGTTATCTGGTGTCATTTTTGTTTTTAAAATGAATTGAAAGTAAACAAGAGAATTTCGAGTCTTCTAACCTGTTTTACCACCTATCACCAAACACATGACTGTTTAACAGTCCACTCTTACTTGAGTTTAGAAGTTTCACTTCCTTTATGTACGACAATTCTTCCAAGAGCATAGAATACTTTTGCAAAATGATAGTTCTCGAAATTTTTCCGAAATTCAAATGGGAAGAAAGATGAAATGTTTTCTACTTTCTTATTTCAATGTTCGATTAAGATAATAGCATGTACAGTGCCTCCTTTATTTAAACGGAGACTAATTAAACTCACGATATAATGGATTGTCCAAAACTGCTTGAATAGAATCCATTCAATATAGATTTACTGACAATGTGTATAATGGGCAAATACTCGAATCTTGCAATCATTTCTCCCTTTTGTTAAATAATTAATTACATGTGATTACTTTTAATATAAGAGTACATCTTAAATAGTATAAGTCTATAATAAATACAACCACCCGCCAAATAAATTAAATCATTTTTCGTAAGATAACAATAGTAACTAGATATTGAATAGTCCACGGTTAATTCGATATTGAACCAAATCAGAAATACTGATTAGTTTCAAGCCATGTTCATCAGCAAAAGCGCGACAGTCATCACGACGTGCCATCAACCCATCATCTTTTACTAATTCACATATTACACTAACAGGCTTTAAACCTGCCAATTTGCATAAATCTAATGGGAAATTTTGAATAAATATATTAGTTTTAGCTATGTATAATAAAAAGGATCAATTCTTTCTCACCTATAGAAGCTTCAGTATGACCAATTCGTTTTAGAACCCCACCCTCTGTGTATCTTAAAGGAAATATATGTCCGGGTCGGATGAAATCCGCCGGATCTGTAATAGCAAAATTAGCCAAAGATCTTGCTGTTAAAGCACGATCATGTGCCGAAATACCTGTCGTGGTATCTTTACAAAAATTGGATTCGTATTAAATCTATGCGCACACGTTCAGTGCTTGAAATTTAAACATGCTTGACCAACTTACTATGTTTATAATCTACAGAGATTGTGTATGCAGTTTTTAATCGATCAGTACTATTCGGAACCATTAAAGGAAGTTTCAATTGATCTAAACGAGTTGGTGCTGTAGGCACGCATATTAAACCGCTTGACAATAAATACTTGAAAGGTAAATCAATCATTCATCTTATGCAAATATATGTGTGTATATATATATATGTATTTTTTAGATAGAAAGTTATTACCTCGTATATCGTACCATGAATGCCATCTTCTCTGTAGTCATTTTTTCGGCAGCAATAACCAAATCACCTTCATTTTCTCGATCTTCATTATCTACAACTACTACGAACTTCCCTTCCACTGAATAATAATATAATACATTAGTATTTTTTATTTGATCTTGATTATTTGTTAATAACATACCAAAATCCTTGAGCGCACTTTCTATCGAATCAAATACATATTTAGGTTTCCCATTAATAATAAAATTATTATTCCGTTGTATTTTATGTGAATATTCATATTCATTGGATATAACGTCAACTGAAGAAGCCGTAAGAATTTTTTGAGCCATAATGAAAAAAAAATTAAAAGTTCTTGTATCGAAAAGATTAGATTTTTTTTCGAGAAATTAACCGTACTTATATATTTATCCTATGCATAGATTAGATCAGGATTTGTCATTATTCGAGAAATTAATCGCACTTTTATACTTATCCTATGTATAGATTAGATCAGGATTTGTCATATGCTGACAAAACCCTATTTGTAATTTGTAATTTAAAATTGCTAAAATTGGTGTTTCGTATGCTGATACTGATCAGGTGAGGTTCCTATTTATATTCGCGTTATAACCGAAAGTTGATACCACCAGTTCCTGCAACTTTTAGAAGAGCGTTTGAATTATTTTCTAATCTTCATATATTATTTCTCAAATGTATCTTTTACAAAGAGTATTTTAATGATCATTTCGATAAAAGAAGGATTCTATTTAATCATTTAAATATAAGAATACATTTACTTCAACTACTCTAATACAAAGTGCGATGAATTCGTTTTTATATACAATCCATCATTACCCTTATTCTCTTTATTATCATCCTTATTATTCTCAAAAATTCATTCCTTTCGCTAACATCACGAAATCTGTGACGAGATACTGATTCCAAGTCATTACCACCAACTCATTATACCCGTGACTCTTACTTAGATCCCGTGCAACACGTGCTTTTCTTATTGTATCAACACACATACATACAAATTCTAGCGCTAACGCTAAGAGAAAAGGTAAATAAAAATCATGGAAGATTATAAAGAAGGAGAAAACGTTTTAGTTACGCCCAAGGCAGAAACATACGACTTAGACATGGAGTTTGAAGACGGTGATGAGGAAGCCGATGACCTTGACATGAAAAACTTGTCGGCAAAGGCTTGGTTGGTGAAATTGCCAACATTTCTTGCAAAAAAGTGGTCTGAAATCGAACAGGAAGACGTTGATCTTGGGTGTGTGAGGATTCATGAGTCGGGGAAGATTGAATTAATCCTTTCTGATAATAAGATATATGCTGAGATGCCACGAGAATATGACCTAGAAATAACAAATACAGATGTCAAGGATTCATATTCTTTTGTTCTAAAAAGAGACGAGAATGGAATGGAGACAGGACCAGTCGCGATCCAAGCAACCGTTCATCATAATTGTTACATTAGACCATATGCGAGTGACGAGTACAGACAAAAGGTGCGACAGAGAACTATAGAAGCATCCCAACCTAAACGAACAGTGCAAGTGATGAGTCCAGATGAGAATCGTGGTGCTTATGTTCCTCCTGGTTTGCAAGCTTCATCAGCGGACAATTTTGGAAAGTTTGTTTCAAAGAAAACAAAAATTCCGATGGAACAAAAAACCACTCGTATGCCGAAAAACGAACTCATCGATTTGCTCTTTCAAGCCTTCGAAGAGTATGCTTATTGGAGTTTAAGAGGGTTGAAAGATTATGTCAAACAACCAGAATCTTATTTGAAAGATGTGTTAACAGAGATCGCGATTTTGGATAAGCGTGGTCCTTATAATAATTGTTATCACTTAAAACCAGAGTACAAACGCGAGAATGAACCAACAAATGATTCGATCGCACCGAATGGATTGGAACCGCCGAATGGGGATTCTGCAATGGTAATTGATGATGATGACGACGAGGTGGAAGAAGAGGGAAACGTGGAAGGTGGTGATGAAGACGAAGAGTTTGATGATGCAGAATTGTTTGGCGATGGTAGCGATTAATTGGAATACTCACGAAAAATACAATTACCACTACGATTTTTTAATTAAATGAGGGTGATGTCTTTATACAAAAAACAATTATTACATTAAGATAATCGGTATATTTATTTAAACTATAAAAAAATTGTGAACTTTCGTAAATCGTATGATATAATAGATCTGTGGCACAGTAATTATAATAAACTGAAAATCAGTTGTTTTTGAAATTCTTACTAATAACGATATATCATATGATAAAAATACATTATAGTTATAGCACTTTATAGTTAACTTCACGACATGTCAAAAAGAAAAGCGCAACAAGCACTGGAAGATGAAAGTGATGTCTTACAAATTCAAGCACTTGGGGCTGGTAACGAAGTGGGCCGTTCATGTTTGGTTATTAAATACAAAGGCAGAACGATAATGGTACACTATCCAGCAGAAACATGCTCTTTTCAATACTTCTACACTGATAATTTACCGTTATATAAAATAGATTGTCAAATGTATCTCGAACCTTATTTTATGATTAATAAAAACCTGTTTTTACAAACTTGAAAAAATCTCGCCGAGTTTTTCTTTGAATTTTTTGTTTAATTGAAGAAATATACGGTTGGACTTTTGATTGATAACATTTGATTCTCTTTTAGTTGGATGCAGGAGTGCACCCGGCTTTTAATGGGTTGGCAGCACTTCCTTTTTATGATGAAATTGATCCTACCACTGTTGATGTTTTGCTGGTTAGCCAGTATGTAATCATTCATTTAATCAAGTAGAGACGAAACATTTATGAAAATTTATATTTTAACTAATCATTTGTTTGCTATATCGTGTATAATTGATATTTTTAGCTTTCATTTGGATCATGCCGCTTCTCTACCGTATTTCATGGAAAAGGTTTGTTTTCCACTCGTACACCCTCTTATTATATATCAAATTGACATTAATTTCATATAATCTAGACTGGATTCCGTGGTCGTGTGTTTATGACTCATCCGACAAAAGCTATATATAAGTGGCTATTAACAGACTTTATAAGAGTCAGGTAAAACATTCTAGTCATCGTTGTATCAATTTAATTAAATCTACGTAATTATATGATAAAAGCCATCAACTAATGATCTATTACAATATCAAAGTAATGTCGGAGCCGATGAAAATATTTATACGGAACAAGATTTGTTGCATAGCTATGAGAAAATTGAAGCGGTCGATTATCATCAGGAGATGGAGGTAGAGGGAATAAAGTTTACTAGTTACAATGCTGGACATGTCCTCGGAGCTGCAATGTTTTTGATCGAGATTGCTGGTGTAAAGGTATGTGAAAAATTGCATTTTCATGGAATCACATTAATTAATAGAAGATTAGTTGCTTTTCATCTATATTTTATCTGTGTAGATATTATACACCGGCGATTATTCGAGAGAAGACGACAGACATTTAATGGCAGCTGAACCTCCTAAAATCCAGCCGGATGTTTTGATCACTGAATCCACTTATGGTGTTCAAAGCCATCAGCCACGGTTAGAAAAGGAAGCGAGATTCACATGTAAATAATTTAACATTGAGAATTTTTTGCACTTATACTCAAGATTGTTCTATGCAAATCCCAATAAATAGCACTTGTCCATGATATTGTACAACGTGGAGGCAGATGCCTGATGCCGGTATTTGCGCTTGGACGTGCACAAGAATTGCTATTGATTCTTGACGAATATTGGGAAGCCCATCCTGAATTAGAGTCTGTACCAATTTATTATGCGTCATTACTAGCGAAAAAATGCATGGCAGTCTATCAAACATATATAAACATGATGAATGCGAAAATTCGAAAGCAGTTTGCCATTTCGAACCCGTTTGTGTTCAAGCACATTTCCAATTTGAAGAATATGGATAATTTTGATGATGTTGGACCTTGTGTTATGATGGCGAGTCCAGGAATGTTACAGGTTAGAAAGTGGCGGGGTTAGTTTTAAGATATGTTATTTTTTGGATTTTATTATACCGGTTAATAATCATCCGTTAATTAGAGCGGTCTTTCTCGAGAACTGTTCGAAAGATGGGCTCCCGATAAAAGAAATGGCCTCGTAATTACAGGTTATTGTGTAGATGGAACTTTGGCTAGAGTAAATAAAATATCTGAGATATATTGCATGTATTTAATAATTATAGAATCTAATATTTTCTTTTAATTATAGCATGCAATGACTGAGCCTGCAGAAATAACTTCAATAACCGGTGCAAAAATCCCACGACGTCTATCTGTTGAATATATATCCTTCTCGGCCCATGTGGATTACACGCAGAATAGTCAATTTATTGACGAAGTGAATGCCCCTAATATTGTAAGTATATATTATTAATTTATATTTGATATGGATAATAAACTGAATTGTTTTTGTGGTGTATATGCATGCAATCGAAAAAAGAAAGCATAAATGAAAGAATCAAACTGATTTTATTTTAGGTTCTTGTACATGGTGAATCAAATGCTATGGGTCGCTTGAAAAGTGCTTTAGAGACAAAATTCAAAGATCGTGGACAAAAGGTTCAAGTATTCTCGCCGAAAAATTGTGAATTCGTGAGACTCAAGTTTCGAGGAGAAAAATTAGCAAAGGTAAATGAAGCTTAGTACTTAGAATGAATGGAGAGCAGTTATATGTATAAACCAGCATTATTGAAATGTTACATGATAATCTACTAGACGATAGGTTCTCTAGCTGCTAAATATCCTCAGGAGGATCAATTACTCTCTGGAATTCTTGTCTCAAAAGATTTTCAATTTAATATCATGGACGCGCGCGAATTGAAAGAGTTTAGCGGGATTTCCACTTCTGCTATTTCGCAAAAACAGACAATTTATTACCGCGCTTCTTTCTCGCTTTTAAAGTTTCATTTGGAACAGATGTTTGTCAATTTGGACGAGACCAAAGATGAAAATGGTGTACCAACTTTGAAGGTAAGAAATAATATCATTGTTTGTGATGATCTTGATATAATTTTACTTTTCTTAATTATTCTTAATATCCAAAAGATATTGAATTCTATTAAAGTTAAACAAGTAAATAAAACTCAAATTTTACTCGAATGGCAAGGTAATTCTATGAATGATATCATTGCAGATGCAGTCTTAGCTGTAATACTGAATATTGAAAGCAGCCCTGCTTCCGTCAAAGGTAAGAAATTTTTTGCTTAATTTGAGTTTATTCAGTCAAGAACTTTTTCATAACCGTTGTTTCCGCTTTCATTTCTATGCTTTACTAATAGTCACAAAAAGTCCAACCCATTCGCACCGACATCACCAAGAAGACATTCGATCCACCACAATAAATTTTCTTAAGAAGCAGTTTGGTGAAGTTTTCGAAAATCCAGAATCGAAGGATGAGATCATTGTTAAAGTAGATGAACATACTGCCACAGTCAATATTCAGAATTTGGTTCGTATATATTATTTTATGATATTTAAAAATGAATTTCTCTTGATGGTTTCTTTTTCTTCACAGGAAATAAACGCACAACATGAACCATTAAGAAAGAGATTGGTTGATGTGATTGAACGTGTTGCGCGTACGCTACGGCCTTTGGATTTCGAATACTTGTCGAAGATGGAAACAACATCTTAGATTTGTATTATCATAGTTGTTATTCACATGGGCTATTTTTATTTACCCTTTCATGGAAGTGTATTTATAGAGGTTGCAAAAAAGAGTTTCACGTGATTTGATAGTATCAATACCACCTATCACGTACCTTCTTAGCGATAAAATATAGTTAATATAGTTATACATTGAACAATTAGAACTTCAGAAAAAATCTATGGTGCAGAACATCATAACTCGCCAATCACATGATTTTGTTTCAATGTTCCGGATGCAATGTAAAATAACATATTGTATAATGCAACCAATAATATTTTCATACATTGATTGATCACGTGTTAATAAGAATCGTATCAAGCATAACGAATGCCGTATTCATTTGCATTATTCATATCATTAATACAGAGATTATTAATTATTTATTTAATGATTTGTTTCATTCGCTTTATTTTCTTTATCTATTTTTATTAATCATTCAATATTTTCTAGAATTCAATGATATAATTTATATTTGTTAATAATTTATTCAACAGTCTGATTCATTAATTCTTTGTTATATATATATCTATATATATCTTTATAACTTATAAACTTGCAAATAGTAATTATAGATATATTATTAAGAACTTATGAAAGCTAGTTTACTAAGTTTGTATAGTTATAATTATATAATCTTCAAGTTTTTTACTTTATAAAATTTCAATATTATTTTATAAAGTTATACTCATAATAAAATTTTGAATATTATTTAAAGATATATTCTGTTCAATAATTATTTTTTTAATAATAATCATTATTCAAGAAAATCAGAATATAAAGTAAAAATAACATAATTATATTATTTTTACTTAGTCTAGATTATGAATGATAATAGGATTATATATGCATCATTATTTGAGTAACAATTAGTTCACGAGTTTGTCATCACTCTTAGATACTCATGATCTATAAAAAATATGACAATATATTTGTGTTTACATCATCACACTTAGATATCTCATGATCTATAAAAAATATGATAATAATTTTATATTCACATTATCATTTAAGTAATAATTAGTTTATGAGTTTGTCATTATTCTTAGATACTCATAATCTATAAAAAATATGATGATGTATTTGTATTCACATTATCATACTTAGATATCTCATGATCTATAAAAAATATGATAATAATTTTATATTCACATCATCATACTTGATCACTTTGATAGGTGATGACTTTTATACTTTTTAAAAAGTTAATGAATTACATTTCTTGAATCTGCTCTTTTAATACAAGTTTAATTTGTAAGATAGTAATTTATTATCTCAATGAATTAATTTTGGATTGCATGATTAGAAATACTAGGAATACTTATTTTTTTCATGTCTTCAATATCAGAATATATCAATATTTTTTTGTTTCTAAAAATTTTTAGAGTCAAAGTAATTTTTAGTAATAACTTTAAATATAACTTCTTGAAATTTTTAGAGAGTTTTAAGTCTTTCTTGATTAGTTTCTTATATTTATCATCAAAGTCACTAAAAAATAAAGTAAAATTCTAGAAAAAAAATAAAACTTATTCTATGATATATCTTTGATATATATTCAATATATACTATATATATTACATATTCTATCTTTGATATATACCTAATATATGTAATATATATATTACATATATTTATAAAAAAGAAAAAAAAAGCTAGAGAAGTTCAATTTTTTTTGGTAATTTTTAGAATTTTCAGTGACAGATATCTAGAAAGTATTTCAGAAGTTTAAAAATATAGAATTTAATAAAGTTTTTGTCTCTAAAAATTTTTTTGATAATACTTAGATATACTAATCACTTCATATCTACTTCTAGCAAATACATCTACTAATTTTTCTTTATTCCAGATAATGCAGAGCAACAAATCTCTAATTTCTTATCTTGTATCATCTTTTTCAGCTTTTTCTACTGATAATAATTTTGCCTTCAATATTTATCTATATGAGTATCACAATAATTGTAATTAGAATAGGTCAACTTATCATATTCTTTATAAGATATATGTAATGGAGAATCCTAGTGAACTTTATACCCTTCAGACTGATAATAATCTTGATTGCAAATTTTTTCAGTTCTAAGAATATAGAAGTAATAATAAAATGTCATACTTATATAATTTTCAATATAATAATTATTATCTATTAATAACTATTCTTTAGAATTAATTTTTATTTTGAACTTTTTTTTCTGGAATAATATATTAGTAATAAAATATACTTATTATGAATATCTAATATTTTCAAAGTGAAGCTTATAACTCAAAGAATCACTCTAAAAGAGCTTATTTCATAATAAAAAGTATTGATCACGTATTAGCAAAAATAGAAGTATCATCTCAATCAGATAGCTATAATAATTTTGATTAAATTATCTTTCTTTAGATCTCTTTTAATCTAGATCTTCATTTTGTGCTATCTGTATAACAGATTAGCTTTATATTACATTCTAAGAAGATCAATTTCACTCTGGATATATAAATAATCATTATGTATTTAATATATCTAGATTTAGTATATTATTACTTAGATAATTACCATATGTATTACAATTATAAATTTAGATTATTAATATTTTTAATTAATTATTTTCTTTATAATTTTATTCATTCTTCTTGTTATTTATTTATATTATTATTTATTATTATTTATAATTATTATTACTTATTGAATTATGATTAGTTATTCTTTGAAGATGTGAATTAAGTTAATTAATTTTGTTCAACTATATATATTTTAAAATAGATTTCATTATTAATTTATTCACTTTTTATATTTATTTCTTTTACTATAAATAAGTTTTCTTTGTTCTGTAATTTTTCTTCAGATCTGAATACTTTTAAATAATAAAAATAATCATAAATTATAAAATTAAAACTTATTCATATTATATTTTATCTTGTTTATAACTATTAATAAAATAATCTTATAATAGTTCAGAAAACTTAGAGAATTTCAAGCTGGAGATAGATATAGAAAAAGAAAATAATGTGATATTCTATTGTCAAGAGTTTAAAGCTTTTTCTTAATCAAAGACTTCGGAAAATGAAAAAATACATCAAATACTTCACTACAATAGAGAAGATTATTTACTAGTTAATTCAAGTCATAATAATATAGTTGCAAAAAATGATAAGAAATTAACTATAATTCTTGAAAAGATATTATTCAATCATGAAAATATTTTATTTATAGTCATCTATAATAAGAATTTAATAAAAAAACTAAATAGAAAGTACTATTATGTATTACATCTTTATAGTTTTCTTTTTAATAGTCAAAAGGTGATAGTTACTCTTACAGAAATTCAGATTTTCTTTGATATATATATACTTGATAATGAATTTGTAGATGATTTTAAGATAAAAATAGATGAAATTCTTTGTAATATAATAAATATTTATAAAATAGAACATATTAAAGCTTTTTCTTTTCATGATTATTATGTAGAAAAAAAGTTATATTTACAAATTCATACAAATGATACTGGGAATAGAAAGAAAGCTTTTCAAGTTATTCAAGATAAAAATTTCAAAATTATATCAGATGATATATATTTATTCTATTGAAAGATAGCTTGAGAATATAGAATTAAATTATCTGGATGATCTATAATAAGTAAATATATATGTAAAAAAAGTAAATGAAGTAGTCTTCTCTATTTATATGAATTCTATATATCTATAAAAAATTTTCATAAAGTGAAAGATATTATAATTATAGATGATTGCTTCTCTATTTTAGCTCTCTTATAAGATCATACTCTTATTCTTACATAAAATATAGAGATATACACATCACAAAAAAAGATGAATTTGCAGAAGTTCTTGATAAAAAAGTCAATATCTTTATGATTTATATGACTATTCACTAAAAAAATAATTCAAAATCATTAAAATAAATTTATCTCATTGATAAAGAAATTGTACCAGATCCAAATTGGATAATGATTATTTGTGAAAATGAAAAAAATCTATTAAAGGCTTTTGCTCTCTATTAAAGATCAATTGCATCTGATATTTAAATCAGATTTAATAATTCTGATTATGATTGGCATTTTATTATGGAAAGAATATATCATTATAATATACTTAAGTGAATATGAAAATAAATAATAAGAAACTTTAAATCAAAGAAAGAAATTCTAAAGTGGAATTATTATGAAAAGATAGATACAAAATCTGAAAATAATTTTCAAAAGAAAGATGATGAAGGAAATATTATTGATAATGGAGATGATAAAGATAATGAGAATAAAAAAAAATATATAGGAGGTCTAATTAAAGTCAAACTTAGTGCTAGTGATTATTTTAATTCTATTATTCTAAAATTATTAGGATGTATACCAATTGATATCTGTGTATATCTCAAAAAATATTATTCCTGTTCTGAAATAGAAAAGAAAGACTTATTTAAATTCTTCTTAGAAAAATATAGTCTTGATTTAAAAGCTGATATACCATATAATAATATGTGAAGGATCTATACAGAAGCAAAAGAACAGATCTCTCTGAAATCATAAAGTTTGACAATTACAAAAAAAATGCATGATATTGTAAACTATTATATTATAGATATATTATATTACCAGAAACTTATGATAAAACTAAGTATAATAAATAATTATAGAGAAGTTACTTCTATAGCTTATGTATCTTTATTTAATTTATACTATTATGCAAATGATATGAAAATACAAAATCTTCTGGATGCTTATATTTTCAAGTGTGATATGATATTTAGTATAAGAATATGTAAAAATATAGAAAAAGAAAAATTTTCTAGTGCATATATTTTTTCACCTAAAAAAGGTATAGAAACAGAAAGATCAGTAACAGATCTGAATTTTATATCTTTATATTCCAGTCTAATTATGAATTATAATCTTTCTCTGAAAAAAATTATATTAATACCAGAAAAGACTAATATTATGCAGAATAATAAAAATAACTTGTATAAGATTAAGTTTCTATTTAATAACTATATTATCTAT